TAACTTGCATATGACAAATAAAACTGAAACTGAAAACAGAAACACCATCATTTACAAACTGCATGTTGTCTTTAATGATCGGAAACATTCGGGTGTGACGAACATAAATACATGAGGGCCAAACACTTCTCACACCACTGTGCACACAGTACTGTAGTGATTCTTTGTAACACAGTGCTGTGTGCACTCTTACAGTATTGTGTTATAAAGAATGTGATTCTGAAGTTCAGTGTTTTGTGCCGCAGAAAAGAGTTAAAAAAAATAAAAATCAGATCAACATGTTTGACTCAAACCTGTGGATCCTTTAAGACTAAGAACAGCAGTTTAAATATCAGGTCATTTCTCAAGTCCTCGAAACTCTTCTGGACATTCAAATTGTTTTTTCCTGTGAACAAACTGGTTCAGCTCAGCAGGTCCCCAGTAGGACACTGGAGTGTCCAGATGGGACACACCCAGTGACTCACAGGTAGCACAGGTAAAGAACTCTAACTGCACCTGGTGGGTGAAACCACACAGTTGTGCTCTATGACGTCATCCTGTGAGAGAGACAACAAAGGTCCATCAGACTTCTGAGTGTTATGATCAATAATTTTGAACTTAGATCCTGTTTCTCCAGTTTTGTGAGACAAATTTAATCCTGTTTTCTGTCAGACTGTTTTAACCCAACTCTTAAGGTTGTGCTTAGATTGAATGCTTCTCTAAAAAGCAGAGTCAGTACGTGCATCTTCTACGACTCTCCAAGTCTTTAAAGTGAAAGTTTGCTTCGCTGCAGGTTTCTGCTGAAACTATTGGCAGACAGTTTGTCCCAGTAAAGGTTACACAGTGTTTCCTACCTCTCTGACCACCTTGGCAGGGATGGTGGCTTCGCAGACAGCAGACTTTCCCCGGCCCTCGATCCAGTTGATGGCAGCTGGCTTCTTGTCTGTGCAGTAGTTCCCACTAACAGCCACCACCTGCAGCTCTGGGAAGTGCTGCTGCAGTAAGCTCAGAGCCTCCTCTGTGCCCTGCGGGCAGATCAGATTCATCACGTATGGTTGCTACGTCATAAATGCGTCTGACACAGCGACGCAGTTTCATGTTGAGAAACGCTGATCCATCTAAAACTGTGTTTCCAGACATGCTGAATAAGAACCTTTGTTAATCCAGTATGAGTGAGCGCTGGGTGATGGTGTAAGTAAACGGTGAAACGGTCTGTATTTGTATAGCACTTTACTCAGTCCCTAAGGACCCCAAAGCACTTTACATATCCTGTCATCCACCCATTCACACACTGGTGATGGCAGCTACATTGTAGCCACAGCCA